ACTCTTTAGTAAGTACTCAAATTCTAGAATTTTCCATCTTTTTTTCCTTCATTAAAACTTACCTGTTGAAATGTCTCCCCCCCACCAAATATCATGCTGTGTTTTCAACTCAGTAAGACAAACTATTTGTGCCAAAATAATAATTTATTTCTCTCCAGTAATATATTTCATATTAATTAGAATCTAAACTGCCTTAACCTAAAGGTAGAGTTTATTAGTTTGGAAATTTAGGACCCAGGGAAGGTAAATAATGGGAAAAATCAGCTCCTTAGTTTGTCTCACCAGAGAGGGGTGGGTGTTGGAGGGTGAAGTGGTGGGGGTGGAAGGGCCACTCTAACCAACTGCCTCACCCATGGGATCATCCAGTATCCTTTCTCAGGAATCGCCACAAATAGAATCATTCAATGCTTAACTTACATATGCCCCAAAGGTGCGTAACACCAGAAGAGTTGGTCATTAATATACATTTTAGGTTTTGTCACAAGAGCACAGGTAGCCAAAATTTAGAAGTCAAACCTGACCTTTTCTTTCAGCAAGTAGAAGGAACTTCAGAAGAATTCTCCTATCGTTTACACAATCCAAAGAATGACATATTAAACCAGGGTTCTGATTTGCTCCTTAAGAACAACTAAGAACTCTTGACCATTAATTTACTTATACTAATGTATTCTACTGGCAAAATTTGGAGCCTTTTTATCGCTGTTAAAAGAGCCAAGGGGATGTGAGTAAGGAGATGATTTGTCACATAGTTCGCAGGGAAAGGGGACAGCTAATACATAAAGTTAAGGCATTGAGAATTATAGTACTGTTCCTGCTATCTCATATGAACGTATCTTTTTATTGTGTCTTAAAACCTTCCCATAGATTTGTAATACTGCTGAATAGACTGAAAATAACAAAACACAAATTCTATTCTCAAATTTCTCCTTCTCAAAGTAGCAAACCAAGAGAAAACTCTTAAAAAGAAGGGCCTTAGTTTACCCATTCAAAATATGGGGAAACTAAGGAATGGACCAATACTTGTCCATTCATTCATATATGCTTAGTCATTGCCTACTAAATCCCTTACAAGGAACTGCTCTCTCAGTTAAAAAAAAAACCATTATGCATTCACTTCTCCTGAAAGAATGTTTGTAAGATTTTATTTAAAAAATAATTTAAAAGTATATTTGGTTAGACTAGGATTTGCAGAGCCACTGTCTCTAAGTTAGGCCCCTTCCTTGGTCCTGCTACTAGGCTAGGAGCACTTGGCCCTATTGTACATGGCATGGCTAAATGCTGCCAGCTGATTACAGTCAGAAAATGACTATGTGCTTTTCAACTAATACCTTTTCAATATGCTAGTAATACCCGGTGAGCAACTCAATCAATGGTGAAATAAATAGACAATTAGGGGCTTAGTACCAGCATAAATTTTGCTAATAATTGTCACTCAGTGACCAGTGGGCAAGCAACTATAGATCCCAGAACAACTGGAGGAAATCTCCTTTGCTAAGCAATTGTCAGTTCTTGCTATTTTTTTTTTCTTCTCACATCCAAGTGTACAATAGTAAGGGAGAATGCATGCAAAGAGGACAGTAAATTCAAATAAGGAGAAGAGGAGGGAAAACTGTCTTGAATGTAACAACAGAAGCACTAAGGTAGCTTGAAATCTTCAGCCAAATTGTTGAATAGCGTCTCCGCTAAATTTTAGGGATTGTTACTATAAACAGGAAACCAGAGAGAGACAAGAAGATTGCAAAATGTTTTTGTAGCAGAATTCTTTCAGCACCTTTTAGTAGTATTAGTGCTTTGTGTACTATATTATTTTAAAGTTATCTATAAATTATAAATCTTCCTTTACCATGTTTATTAAATTCTTATCTTTTTTCAGAGAGGAAAATGTCTATGTTTTGTTTTTTAAATAAAAGCTAATGGGAAAAATCACACTTAAGAGAAATTTGTAGGAAAGAATGTGTGTTTAGGAAGAATATCTGTATTATTATCCAGGATCTAGATGTCTTCAATCACTTGCTTTAGTTTATCTCTTTTCCTCTGCAAAACCTGTACACCGAAAATCCTTTCCTATAGTTATTTTATATGACAAAAAGATATATTTTCATAGAAACTTTTAGCAGTGAGGAGGGGAATCAGGGAGAAATAATTTACTCTAAAGGTCCTGAAACTGGCCAGGCTCGGTGGCTCACACCTGTAATCCTAGCACTCTGGGAGGCCGAGGCGGGCGGATTGCTCAAGGTTAGGAGTTCGAAACCAGCCTGAGCAAGAGCGAGACCCCGTCTCTACTATAAATAGAAAGAAATTAACTGGCCAACTAATATACATAGAAAAAATTAGCCGGGCATGGTGGCGCATGCCTGTAGTCCCTGAGGTTGCTGTGAGCTAGGCTGACGACACGGCACTCATTCTAGCCTGGGCAACAGAGCAAGACTCTGTCTCAAAAAATAAAATAAAAAAATAAAGGTCCTGAAACTGACGTGACACAGGATGATGAATCAGGACAGCAAAGTCCAGAACACTGCAGGACACCCTGGGGCTGGTGGCTGTCAGGTAGGTAGGGTTTCCTGCTAGCACTACATGCTCTTTCACAAAGCAGTAGTATTTTTCCCCTTTCTCCTTGTGTCCCTCCCCTTACATATTTGTAAGAACAATTCAGATCTAGAAAGCATGCTTGTTATTTACTCAGAAACCAGGGAAAGATGGGGAGAGGGTGCCTTTCAGTGCTGATAGTCAAGATGTAGACAGATCAAAAGCTAAATCCAATTTAACCCACCTCAGGCAGAAAAAGTAATTGAATTAAACTTCCTCTAAATATGATAAGTTTGGGGCTCTGAGAGCCAGGCACAAAGAACCAGGTTAGAGTGAGCTGTTAAGTAAATGGAGGCATTGAGCTCTAGCCACCCCACCCAGGGGGAGTTTGATAAGCTGGTGATTGCCTTGATCACTTTACTACTGAGGCCGAAAACTGATTAAGCTGCTTATGGGGCTCCGGGGGCTAATGGCTTGGCCCACCAAGAAAACCGCTGCCACTAATTTAAGTAAGCTGCTTGGCACGTATGGTTTGATTATTACAAGGGGGAAAAAAAGAAAGGGGGGGGGAAAGACAGCAGGGTACAGGAAGCCTGAAAAAGCAGGCTTTATTATTCCAAATGGATACACTACTCTGACACCCTAAAATGAATAAGGAATTACTCTGATTCTTTCTCTTCATCCGATATCAAAACTCGTTTTTGAAAGGCTTCCTCAAAGAGTACTCACTTTGGAGCCCACCCATTCTATTTTAAACCACCTTTACAAGAATGTTCTGGGCTTTTCAATGTACTTCTCAAGTGATAGAGTCTGTGTCCTCAGATACTATGATCAGATAGACTCTGGAAAATAGACAAATGTCTAACGGGTGTTTTAACCAGTTCCTTCCCTTGAACACCACTAGACAATTGTAATTAAAAATATATCCCTTTCCAGCCCCCCCTGCTTGAGTGTATACTAAAGGGCAGGCAGCACTGAAGGAGTTGGGGAGCTGATGACATGCAAGTTAAGTTTAAACTTGACACACAAGTAGAAATCGAAGCCCTAGTCTTCTCTCAGCTCCTTCAACTAAGTGCTCTAAAATCATTCCTGCCATTTAAAATACATTTCCTACCTCTGGGTGTGTGTAGGGGGCAAACAGAACACAAAAGTGTTAACTTTTCAAATTAAAGGGGAAAAAGAGACATTTAAAAAAAAAACTTGAAAAGAAATTTAAAGTCTGAAAAATGACTGAAGGATATGAACACAGTTTTTAAGTTGACCTAATTTCTTCTGGATAAACCCACCAGAGAGGAAAACAACAACAAAAGATCAGAATCACAGCAGTCTGAGACATTCTGAAAGTTGTCACAATTGTTGTTGTTTTTTTAAATTGACTCTTGAAAGAATCATTTAGTGTCTAACAGCTTCTTAGGGAGTAAGTTGTTGATTTAAATGATTAACCAAAGGTAACATATTCAGGCTTAGAGCTGAACACAACAAAAGGTCAGTTTCTTCCTGGCTGCTAACCTGGTCAATCATTAAAAGTACATGTGCTAATAAAAGTATAAATAGATGATTTTGATTCTTATGTGCTTTGCTATATTTTATTAAACTTAATGTATTCATTACCTTTTACATCTTTTTTCTTGATATGGTTTTTATCGATAGAATTCACGTACCATAAAATTCACTCTTTTAAAGTAAACAATTCAGTGGTTGTTAGTATATTCACAAGGCTGTGCAACCATCAGCACTACCTAATTCCAGACACTTTCATCAGCCCCAAAGAAACCACGTATGCATTAGCATTCGTTCCTCATTCCTCTGCTCTCCCCAGGCCCTGGCAACCACCAAAGTACTTTTTGTCACCATGGATTTCCCTATTCTGGACATTTCATTTAAGTTAAATAATACAATATATATTTTCTGTCTGGCTTCTTTCACTTAGCATGATATTTTCAAGGTTCGTCTATGTTGTTGCATGCATCAGTACTCCTTTTTATAGCTGAATAATAAATATTCTATTATATGGATACACAACATTTTGTTCATTCATCAGTTGAAAATTTGGGTTGTTTCCACATTTTTGCTATGATGGATAATGCTGCTCTGAACATTTGTGTACAAGTTTTTACATGGACATAGGTTTTCAAATCTCTTGGGGATACACTTAGGAGTAGAATTGCTGGGTCATATGGTAACTCTATGTTTAACTTTTTGAGAAACTGCCAAACTGTCTTCCAAAGTGGCCATACCACTTTACATTCCCACCAGCAATGTATGAGAGCTCCAGTTTCCCTATCCTTGCCAACATTTGTTGTCCTATAATATCTTTTTATACTAAATTCTGCTCCCCCCTCCCTGTTCTGAATAGAAATTAACTGAGGACCAGGGCTCATGATGAAAACTGCCCCCATGATGGTGGAATTCAGTGCCAAGACCATAATCAACAGAAAGAGAACCAAAACGAAATGGCCCCTCTGAGCACTTACCTGCTGCAGGTCGGCGAGGGAATACAGGTGGATCTGTTGAAGGAGGTATTCTCTGGGGAAAATTCTGAAAACAAGGGCAGATACACAAGTGAACTGTGGTTCTGCTACAAAACACATTTCTTTCTGTTAAGTTTCAAAGTCTCATTCAGGAATTCTTTTCCTCTGCCTTCTTTCCCTTCTACCTATTCTCCTCCTCCCCAAACCCTCTGAGAAACCTGTAATAATTTCCTTTTCTCAGATATTTTTCTTCCTAACACAGATATCAGAATGCAAGTAGAAGTTTGGTCTTTGATTTCTGATGTAATCTGAAATGCTACTGTGCAGTGGCCCAGGCCTGAGGACCAGAACATGAAGTTTCTAGTACCAGCTGTGTGTCCCTTCCATGCTATATGATCATGGACAAGTCCCCAAATCCAACTGGCTTAGGCTTCTTCACTGTAGAATAAGAGTGACTGGACATGGAGTATCTAAATCTTTCTAGGTGTATTATTCTATATCTAAATAAATTGATTTTAGGGAGAAAAATTGGAGTTGCAACCTGTGTGTCTAAAGGCTTCTATGGCTTTCATTAATGGAGAACAGTGGCACTGAACATCACATTACATGTGATGTCCTTTTACGTGTACAGTGATGATAATTTTTAGCACCCAGGTATAGGTGGGAAGAAAGGGACAAAATATTTTATTTAAATCAGGACTCCTCCACAAAGTCCAATCTCTTTGGCTGCTGTCAGTTTACAGCATCTGGATAGCTGACAGCGAATGAACAGGAAAAAACAACCCATTATGGACAAGCTGACAAATACCAAAGTGCAGATGGCTGGAAAACACCACACATACAAACTAAATCCAAAACAAAGATCCTGGTGCTAGCATTCTCTCTCTTTGTCTTATGTGTACTATGCAATTTTCTTCTGTTTTAAGTGAAAGAAATCATCAATTTATTCAATTAACATTTATGATTGTCCATTATATGCCAAGCACTGTGCCAGGCACTGGGAAGACAATTATGAACTCAGTATCTGAGTTCAAGGAGCATAAAGTCAAGTGAGGAAAAGACACACAAACTGCTCATTGTAATACAATGTGGTAATTGCAAATGGTAAGAGTTATGCATGGGGTACATATTTTTAAAATGGCCTAACATGGTGGATTCCAACCCTGGTGGTCTATTAGAATCATTTGGGGAGCTTTTAGAAAATGACAGGGTATACATGTGGGTACAGCCCAGAATTCAGTGTTAAAATGAAACAAAAACTATCCTGGTGATTAGTACAGCAATCAAGTACACATTGTTGCCAAATCCTAGAGGTTAAATCATTCATCCTTCCATCCATCCATTATTGATTAAGCACAAACCGTATACCAGGCACTGTACTAGGCCACTGAAAATGGAGCATTGAATCAATGTGACAAAAGTCCTGACCCCATGGAAGACTGGGGTAAGTGTATTCTAGTTTGGAGCTCTCCTGGAAAGTAGGATAGGCACTGAAGAACTCTGCTGAAAAGCATCACTTCACCCACAAGAATGAGACAAACCAAGTGAATGACAAGGGCATTATATTCTGGGAAATAGAATACAGTTCCTAAGGCTGGGCTCCCTTCAACTGTAATGGTTCAGAGCTGCATCTGTGGCAGGAAGCAGAGCATAGGCCCAGCGCAGATGGGTAGGGTATAGGGAAAGTGCTCAATTCCTCCACCTGGGATTAGCTTCCCTACAGAAAGGGACCTGGTGTGGAAGGAAGACCATGGTCCCTTGCAGGGCCATGAGATATAATCAACCTCCATTTTCAATAACATACACACATGGCAGAGATGAGCAAGGGACCTATTCCTCAAGGCACCCTAGTGTTAGGCACCAATAACAATAAGAGCAGCATACTCTGAGCTTGGCACGTGACAGACATCATTTTGTTTAATCCTCACTACAGCCCTGCATGGTAAGTACAGCCTCCATTTTACACAAGAGGAAACTGAGGCTCAGGAGCAAAGACTAATTTGCCAAGGTAACAAAGTTCAGATTCAAGGTCAGGACTTTCTGACGCCTGTGCTCCTGCCATTTTCTGAGGGTTGGGGGTGGAGGAAGGAGGGAGGTGGCTTGAGTTGACCATCTAATTTAGCTATATCATGCAAGTATTTTCTAGGTAGATGTTTCTTACTGTTCAGGCCAGTAGCAATACAGAGTCACTGATGCTTTTTTTAAACAGGAAAGTCACGCTGATGCCCTCTGTTGTGCCCTCTTTCTGAATGCAGTAAGCTAGGTGGAGAGAGGTATCCCTGACGAGCCATTCGAAGGTCTGTTGTAGGGTAACAACACGGGGATAGTGAAAGGACTAGGAGGGCAGATACAAGAGACTTTCGAAAACAGAGCTGAAAATGTTAGAATGAGTGAAAAAGGAGAAAGGAATCAAAATGATCCTGAAGCATCCAGCGTGGGTATCAGAATGGTTATGCCATTGGCCAACAGAGGCCAGGCTGTCGGGGCTGGGAACAAAGGATTGGGTTTACATGTGCCCAACATCCAGTGCTTGTGGGGGTGGGGCAGCAAGTATGGCTGTGGGACTGAGACGTGGAATGGCCGGGACACTTTTGACCTCAGCACAGAGGGCACGGGTGGAGCTGAGGAGTAGATGGAAGGGACCGAGGAGAAACCTGAATAGGAAAGGGACTGAGCATGGATGGATTGTTTTTACTTTGTTTACATCATAATATCTAGAACCATCTAAAAGTATATTTTTGGTGGCCTGCAATGTTCTCATACTTGCTCATACTTGAAAAATTATGTTTTGAAAATAACCAGGATGTCCATGTATACTTCAGGTTCTAACATTTCCTCTTTTTTTTGATAAAATGTTCATCCCTTGTACCCTTCACCAGCTTCCCCTAATGTTTACATCTTATATAACCATGGTACATTGATCAAAACTGAGAAATGAACTATTATGTACATTATAGACTTTATTCAGATCTCATCAGTTATGTCACGAATATCCCTTATCTGTCCAGGATCCAATCCAGACTATAACATTCCATGGATTGTTGTTTTATTGTTGTTGTTTAGTATATTTAAGCATCTACAAGGAGACTTGAGACACAAACATATGTGCAGAAAAGGAAACCTATGACATACTCTTTCAGGGCAGCAGTGTATGATAATACAGAGGACAGACAGTATTGGGGGCAGTTGAATGGAAGGAATAATTTTTTCCAAAGGTAACTGATCTACAGCAGGAACAAATGCAGGATAGCATATCCATAATGTTTTGCTGCTTAAAGTTCTTTCTTCTCTAAAATCTTAATATTTCTATGACTGGGAGTATATAGGATGTAAGAATTATTTACAAATTTACAAAGCAAGCCATGCTGGTATATTCTTCCTAGAATATGATAGTCAGCGAGTTATCACACAGCCAACAAACCCATATTGAGTGCCTAAAATAAGCCAAGTGTGCTAAGTGCTGGGCATGAATACTTCAATGAACACAGTTGATGAGCAACAAAGAGAATTTCCAGTTTTGCCTTAGTAGGCTGAGTCCTTCTTGCTTCCAAATGCTGTTCATTATTCTTCTCACAACAATAGACCAACTTTGGTTACAGTCATCTCTAATACTCCTTCAGCATTATTTATACAGTATAGCTAAAGTTAGCTATGTATTTAATGTTTCTGTGTGTACAAATATATCTCACATGTTTATTTTCTCTCTCCCTTTAGAAGAGATTCTAAGTTCCTCCAGAAGCACTTGTCCTATTTGTCCCTGCATCCCTCTTCAGTGTCTAATACTGTAATTTACATGAGGTCAGTCATAACAGACACAAAGAACTGGAAAATGCAATATAGGCAGAAAAGATAAAGAAACCAAGCTTATTGTGTCTGGAGATGTTGTGTCCAAAAGATTTAGCGGTGGCCATTAACCACACAGACATTCAAGATAGATAATGTCAATCAGCTTTTCTTCTCTCTGGAGGACAGAATTTGTAGCATGAAAGCATTGAAGTCAAATATGAGAATAAATTTCCTGAGAGGTAAGACTGGCAAGTATTAAAAAGCATCTCTTATGCTAATGCTTTTTAATGTAAATAAAAAAGAAAAGGACTTTTTGGGGCAGCTTTTTAGAGACAGCGACTCATTTTTCTGCTTTGAGGAGGTAAGGGTTTCCAAGGCAGGGCCAGATGACTTAGGCTCGCTGCAGCTAGTTCATTCCTCTTTCTCCTAAGGCAGGCTGAATTTGCAGGACATTCTCTGAGTATCTTCTTTAGGCAGACCAAGCATGGCCCAAGGTAAATAAGGACTACAAGCCAAGCTCAGGGAAGTGTGGGCCAAGGCAACTTCCCATCTGGGTGACACCAACAGCTTTTCCCTGCGTGGCTTACGTGCTATAAGTCAGCCTGTGGGACAAGTGGCCTTTAGGAAATAGACAGAAAAAGCAGGTATCCCCAGGGTGGGTTCTCCTTAAACTCAGATTAGTAGAAGGGGTTCTGGAAAACCTGTAGGACCAATGTGTGCTCAGGTATCATTAAGCTGCCTTAGGCAGATCTGAGTAGGGAAGACAGGGCTCCATAGGGCATACAGAGACGAATTTGCAGTCACTTCAGGGACTGGGGAGTGGGAGAGCTGTTCATGCCTGGGAAGCAAAGCTTGGTGTCCCCTTAAGATAGTCATGTCTGCATTAATTTTACAATTAATGTATTCAATGAAGAATGGTTATTTGCATTTTTGTCAGAAAACACTTGTAATCGCCACATCTCCCATGAATTTAATGCAAATAAAGCCCAGCTTTATGAAACTCTGTGACTTGTCACCATGCTTAAAAACCTAAAATCAGGCTGGGTGTGGTGACTCAAGCATGTAATCCCAACACTTTGGGAGGCCAAAGAGGGAGGACTGACTGAAGCTAGGAATTCGAGACCAGCTTGAACAAGAGCAAGATCCTGTGTCTACAAAAAATAGAAAGATTAGCCAGGCGTGATAGTGCATGCCTGTAGTGACAGCTACTCTGGAGGCTGAGGCAGGAGGATCGCTTGAGTCTAGGAGTTGGAGGTGGCAGGCGTGCACTATGATGACACC